GGACCGGTTGATTGCTTCAGCTTTTCGAATTGATCGCAACGACGTAAGCGTGCTAGGTTTTTTTTTTGATGTATTAGTCTTAGGCGAATGTGGGTAAGGTCGCTTTTCTGCTGCAGGGGGCAGCACTGCTTACGACCAGAGGCCAAGAAAACCTGGATGTATTAAACCTCTAGATTCCGTTTTGTAAAGATCTTTAACTCCTTTCTAAAACATTAGGGTCAGAAAATAGCAGTTTCAGATCCTAGGAAAAAGTACGTGCTAATAGCCTTTCAGTGCGCAAATATTGCCAGTCTCCATTCAACTCGTTCCGAAAAAATGCGATTTTGCAGATGAAGCAGGAAAGTTTGCAAGATTTTTGGCAGGAAAGCGATTTCGGAAACCAGGCAAGCTAGAGGGCTAAAATTTTACGAAGAATTTGAATTTAATTTAGTTTTCATACACCACTTGTGCGAGACGCCATGCCAAAGTGAGGTTTAAACTGTTAGAAAGCTATAATTTTACAGTTGTAATTTTACAATGCTGTTTGCTCGTGAAAGTAAACTGGGTATTTCATGCGCCTGTGCCATGTCATTTTATATCAAATGGTTCTTGCTGTGCATTATGCAGAAAATGGTGGTATACTGATTTTCCAAGCTTTTCTATGCAGTAGCATATAAAGCGTGATAAGAAGGGCGACGATAAACTCCAAAAGAAGCTATTTAATGTATTTCAGCAGGAATGCGATTACGTGAACATCGAGGACGCAAGTGTGGACGAGGCGCTCGGTGATATGTCATCTTCCTACACGACGATTGGAACTGATACGCCAAGCACGTCAGCAGCATGTTCGACGAGTTCATTGCTCAGTGAAGCACGTAGCGGGGTGGACTGGATGAGGAAGCTGGCCGCCAAATATCAACATATCAGGGGCACATATAATTCCTATCGGAATAATTGCACTGGTTGGAATTTTTGTTGCCTTTTTTTGCAGTTTTTTGGGATGTTGCATCTGTCTTTAGAATCATTTTAAAAGTAACCGCGCGGCAGAGATTTGTTACGCTTGTCAGTAGAGAAAATGTCAAGACTAGTACTGAATGAGCAGTTGGGAGCGAAGCGACATGCTGTTCAATTTTTTAACTACGGCGTCAATAGGCTACTGGATGAGTTCTAAAAGCCCAAGAAGCTTAAATTCAAGAATGATTCTGGATGGTACTTATTTTTTCCCCGCCAAATTTGTTCCAAATACGTTTGAACAACTGAACGAAGTAAAGAGTTGACTTTGGCATGTGTCTTCTGTAATGCACTTCTAAATAACGTATTGCAAATCCATATCGATTCAGTTAGTAATAGTTTTTGCTGGCCGTGTTTTTGCTAATGCTGTCTTGAAACAGTCGTCATCCAAAAAGATGGCGATGCACCAGGCTCGCTGGCGCAGTCATACGTTTTTGCATGATTTCATACTGCAGAGAGATAGTTTCTACTATTGTGCATAGCAGCGGTGTTGCGACTTGCACGTTTGATGTGCCAGTATGCTGATTCATATCTAGTCAGGAATTCATCTTATGCATCAGGCGCGCACGCGAATAACAAATATCTTCAGAAAAATACCTCTTCTGCTCAGTCTGACTGTCGAGTTAATTGAATGTCAACAATATGTTAACCTAAACTTTAACTTTTGCGCATACGAAACCTAGGCATGCTCTGAAGATGAATTTGAATATTTCGGTCACACATGAGCACAGAACATGCTCGTAAAATTTCAGCTTCCTAGCTTAACTGGTCGACTAGAAAGTTT